ATTTACGTTACGTCAAAGCAAGTGTGATCCCACATTCTCCTGTACATTTTCCTCTCGCTATCCTTAGGTGAAGGTAAAGGTAAAGAGACCCCTGACCATTAGGGCCAGTCGCTGAAGACTCTGGGGTTGCAGCGCTCATCTCGCTTTATTGGCCGAGGGAGCCAGCGTAAAGCTTCCGGGTCATGTGGCTAGCATGACTAAGCCGCTTCTGGCAAACCAGAGCAGCACACGCAAACGCCGTTTACCTTCCTACCAGAGCAGTACCTGTTTATCTACTTGCACTTTGACGTGCTTTTGAACTGCTAGGTGGGCAGGAGCAGGGACTGAGCAACAGGAGCTCACCCCGTCGCAGGGATTTGAACCGCCGACCTTCTGATCGGCAAGCCCTAGATTCTGTGGTTTAGACCACAGCACCACCCGTGTCCTGTCTCGCTATCCTTATCTTAGGGCAAAGCAGGTTTGCTGTGCGAAACTTCCAAAAGAGCTATAATTGTGCAACCTCAATTTGCTGGTATGTGATTGAATTCCACCTGATAATAGCAACCTCATACCTCAGCTTCTGCTCTCCATCTGTGATATCACAGGACGTAACACTGACCTACCTTACAGGGTTATTGCTAATGTAAGTGAAGCATTTTGAACACTCGAAAATACTATATATGCTAAGTATTGCAATAATTAAGGTTTTTTTTAATAATCAAAACAATTAAAGCTAAGCACTATTGCAGAACAGACTGCCCTTCTCTGATGCCGTTGACAACCTTAGTCTTACTTCAGCTATCAGATCAAGGGGAAAACAAAAAAACTTTTGGAAAAAATTGAATAAGTAGACGAATGCATGATTGGCTCTGAGTATTTCCATACAACTGATAACCATCTTTATCAAGTTTTAGGCACCAGATGAAGGTGTTCCCATTTACCTAGGATTTTAATAAATTATATCACATGATAATACCCTAGATTGCTGCGGTGTTCCATCTTTTAGCTGGGAGAAGTAAGTTTTGTCCCTTTTTAATCTTATTGCAGGATTGTCACTTTTAGTAAATAATGGTTGAATCTTTCGGTATTATTTGTGTTCTTGGGGTTTTTTTACAGCTGCAAACCACTAGTGTGCAATGAATAAGCATATATGCTAACACTAACGGTAATATTAACGTTTCTGAAACTATGAAATCACGAGACTGGGCAACTCTTAAGACCTTTAGCCACATTCAAAATACACTCACACTCCTGGGCACATGACCAGAGGATTCTTTGCTGCTGCTGCTTCTTGTTCTATTTCCTCTTCTACTTCCTTCTTGAACGTTCCCATTTTTGGAAAAAAGGTCAGATTACACTCCGTTAACTGCTTCCAAGTACAAGGAGCAGAACATTTCTGTTCAGTTCAATCACCTTTCAACTGGTCCAACAAACTGCACGGTGTCCCCCTCACCAGCCAGTGGAGAACCTTCCTTGGCTTTCTGGGCCGTTGGCAGATGCTGTCTGCCAGCATGGGCATAGCCAGGATTTTTGTGGGGGGGGCAGGGTTTTTGTTGGGGGCGGGCAGACCAATGCAATTGGTCAGTTAGTTAAGTATTTATGTTGTTTTACATGATCTAGGAGGGGCAGCTGCCCCCCTGCCCCCACCCTTAGCTACCCAGAAACCCATGTCTGCCAGTTATGGCTGGTGCCTGTTGAGACTGGTAGGGCCGGCAGAAGATGAAGACAGAGCCGATGAAAGGTGAAACCAACTAATTCGAGTTTCGCCCCCATCCTCCTCCCTGATGAGGTCTACAAGAGCAAAGCGGAGAAGGAAGCAGACAGGACCCTCCCTCCCTGAACTGGTATAAGTACAGTGGTACCTCGGGTTACAGACGCTTCAGGTTACAGACTCTGCTAACCCAGAAATAGTACCTCAGGTTAAGAACTTTGCTTCAGGATAAGAACAGAAATCGCGTGGCAGCAGTGGGAGGCCCCATTAGCTAAAGTGGTGCTCCAGGTTAAGAACAGTTTCAGGTTAAGAACAGACCTCCAGAACAAATTAAGTTCTTAACCCGAGGTACCACTGTAGTTAGGGAAGCAGGTAGGGGCTGGCTGAGGACAGAGTTTAGTGGGGCAGTGCCCCATTTCCCACTATATTATTTTTGTTGTTGGGAAGTTGAGGAATGACGGAGAGCAGAGAGGGAAGGACCAAGGGGGAGAACAATGGGCATTTATCTGAGCTCTCGGCCCTTACTTTGGAGGGTAATTGGTTATGTCTGTGGCCAATTTTTGTGCTTAGCTTTCAGTGGGGTGGGTAGGATTTGTCCTTTTCATATGTAATTATGGATGAGCATTTTTGGTTCTTATTTTATTGCAACTTTCCATCTGTTGTTCTTGTTGTTTAGTCGTTTAGTCGTGTCCGACTCTTCATGACCCCATGGACCAGAGAACACCAGGCACTTCTGCCCTCCACTGCCTCCCGCAGTTTGGTCAAAAACTTTCCATCTAGTTTTTTTTATTATTATTATTATTTAAGTTTCTGTTCTTTTTTGTAAAGTCACTTTGAGACACTTTGGCGTAATACAGTAAAAATTAAATTTCTTGTCTCTGTGTTGCAGGTTGCAGCTGGCTTTAAAATGTCTGAAGAAGACTACTTTAATGAACAAAGTGGGGATAAGAACCAAGAATCAACTGGCATGGGTTTTTTTGTCCACACTTTCTTGATTTATAATAATAGAATTGTAAAGTTAGAAGGGACCATAGGGGTCACCTAGTCCAAGCCCAGTGTGGAGAGCCAGTGTGGTGTAGTGGTTAAGAGCGGTGGATTCGTAATCTGGGGAACCGGGTTCGCTTCTCCACTCCTCCACATGCAGCTGCTGGGTGACCTTGGGCTAGTCACACTTCTTTGAAGTCTCTCAGCCCCACTCTCCTCACAGGGTGTTTGTTGTGGGGGAGGAAGGGAAAGGAGAATGTTAGCCGCTTTGAGACTCCTTCAGGTAGTGATAAAGCGGGATATTAAATCCAAACTCTTCTTCAAACTCTTCCCTGCAATGCAGGCTCAAATCCACAACTCTTGCGATGCGAGAGTCTCTACCGACTGAGCGATCTCCTGCTTGAAATCTATTACATTAGCATGAAATGTCCACAAATAGACACAAGATTGCCAGCGCAATCTTCTGACCTGAAGTGTGCGTGTGGTGTGCTTGTGAATCACTGTGTGAGGAAGTGAGATGGGCTGAGAGTTGCACTGAACCTCTGCGGAGATGACTCGAGATTTCTGTTAGGAGCAACCCAAGCAGCAATTCTTCTGAAATATCACCTCCATCAGATGCCTCCTGCCCCTGAGGTGCTTCCATTCCGGCTGGTGAGGAGAAGGACTAACATTTAACTTTTAAGAACTGGTTCCCAAGTTTGCTTTCTTCCACTTCCCAACCTCTTCCTTTTCCCTTGTGTGTCACATATCTTTTTGAGCTGTCAGCTTGCAGGCAAGGACTGTCCTGTTTTAAATTGATTGTATATTAAGTCGCACAGGGAGCCTTTTCTGCTGAAGGGAGAGGTGTGCGAAGGCTCTAAATCAGGCCTGGAGTTCAAACCTCAGGCCTGGAGTTGAAATGCATTAAAAAAGCAGTGCTCCTCAAACTATCTGATGTGGTGGACTAGCAGTTATTTCCCCCAATGTGCCAGGGACTGGAACCATATTTCGTCCCTGACACGTTCCACCCAACCTGGGCTGTACCAGCAGCCATTGGTACTACCCTTCCCCTAACACCCCATTGCAGAATACTCTCATAATAAAATGCCAATCTGGAAGGACCCTAGGTAAAACCTTCAGCCTATCCAGCTTTGCATTTATCCCAGGATGGCTTACTTGTAACCCTCCAAATGTTGGAGGGCTCCAACTCCCAACAGCCCCAGCCAGAATGCCCAGTGGTCATGGATAACAGGAGTCGGGCTTCAGCACCGTCTGAGAGCCAGTGTGGTGTAGTGGTTAAGAGCAGTAGACTCGTAATCTGGTGAACCAGGTTCGCTTCCCCGCTCCTCCACATGCAGCTGCAGGGTGACCTTGGGCTAGTCACACTTCTCTGAAGTCTCTCAGCCCCACTCACCTCACAGTGTTTGTTGTGGGGGAGGAAGGGAAAGGAGAATGTTAGCTGCTTTGCGACTCCTTAGGGTAGTGATAAAGCGGGATATCAAATCCAAACTCTTCTTCTTCTCTGGAGGGAGACAAGTTCCCTTTCCCTAGGCTACAAACTGACAGAGGGCAGCTCTTCAGGGTTTCGGACATTGTTATGGGCTGCCTGGATGCAGGAGAGAGGCACCAGCTGAGGAACTCCCTAGAGAACCCCCAGGGGAAGAAGGCTCAGAGCCGGGGGATTGGTAGTGGGATGACGATGAGTGGTCCAAGGGAAAGGACTGGGGGGAGGTGGTTTTGGAAGCTAGAAGGGCAACAGGGTTTAGTGAGCAGGAAGAGTCTGTGGCAGAAAGCAGTTCAGACTTTGAGACTGAAGTGGAGGCTGGAGAGAAGAGTGGGGTCAAGAGGTGGATGAAGAACCCAGGGAGTCTCCTGCTGCTGCTGCAACCTCCTCCCTTCCCCACTAGTCTGAGAACGTGCAGAGAAATGAAAAGGGCAGAACAGAGATTAGTTGTGCAGTTTGAGACTGTATGGGGAAAACCCGGGAGAGGAGTAGCCTTAGAGAGGGGTGGAGAGGACCTTCAGTCTTGCAACCATGTCATTGGGGCAATACCTGCTGGGAAGGGTTGCTGAGACCACTAGGCCTGAGCTGTATTTTGGTTTACTTGAATAGAGTTAACATCACTGGCATCAGTGACTTATTACTTTAGTGCTGACCTGGATCTGACTCCAGCTTTGCCAGCCCTACCTGGATTGAACCCGTGGTCTCCTGCTAGCGAAACCCATGCTCTGCCAAAATGCCTTGAACCACCCCTGCACAGATCACCTGTGCAACCCTTGTGTGGAAAAGCACATTTTCGAAGACACACACGCGCACACATAAAGCAGCCAAGCATCTTCCAATGTAGCCTGTTGAATTTTTGTTTATTTGCCTTTTTTCATGGGGAAAAACTGAAATAAATAACATTTGGAGGGGGGGGGGCAAAACAAAACAACCAGGAAAGGTTTTACTTATTACCAAAGTATTTCTTCCTTCCTTTTCTCCCCCTCTCTTCTTTGTGCGCATGTGTGTAAGCTTTTTCCACGGCTGCTTTGGTTTTCCCAATGGCAGCTCCGGCCGGCTGCCAACGCTGCGATGGAGGGGGGTCCTACTGCATACTGGGAATGTAGAGAAGAGGTACTGAGTTTGAAGAGGTCAAGGTATAAGGCTGCTGATCAACAGAGAAAGAGAGAGAGAGCGCATTAGAGTCTTCCTCCTCACCTCTTGGGCTCCCTCAATGCACGGTCACAGTGGAAGGTCAGTTGACTTCTGGGTCCTCCGCCGAGAAATATTCGGTGACCAGCTGCCCCTTTTAAGTCTGATGGTAGGCTATTGCAGTGCGTTCTCTCTCTTGATAAAAGAAGGCGTTTCGGCTTTTATTGGTAAAGGAAACGGAAGGAGGGACCTCTTGAAGAACAAGGGGAGCATTTTGCTACAAAATAGGTGGGACTTGCAAAAAAATAATAATAAATGTCCCCCCCCACACACACAGAAAGGCCTGCCCTGGAACACCAGGCTGAAAAGCTCTGGAGGAGGATGTCTCTCAATAAAGGGCACTTGAGAGAATGGCAGGTGGATGTGATCTCTATCTCTTGCCCGCGCTTGGGCCAGAGCAGAGTTATCGTATGGTCTAGAAACCTGGCAGGGCGTCATTCCCTCCCAAGCAGGAACCAGGTAGGCACATGAGGAATACAGGTGGATATCCAGGTCACATCTGCAGGCTGGAGTGGTGCGCCGCAGATGTGCCCCCTTGCCCACAGCTCTTTCAACACCCTCGAGGTTTGGAGCGAGTAGAAATAACTCTCCCAAGCCCAGCATACCTCCCAAAGGTCCTCCTTCATTTACTTCTTCCAGCGTTTGGAAAAGTCCAGACAAAACAACCCTTTGATGTGGCACATTGGTGTTGTATAAAAGGTGATGCAGTATTGGCTAGCAGGAGACATCAGATCGGATGATGCTTTCCACTGGCCCTGCGCGATCGACGGGGGCCAGTGCAGGCAATCCCCTTTTGATGCTCTCTTCACTCACAGGAGCGGTCCTCCCCATATGGGAACTGGCGGATCTCCGCTCCCTGTAAAGGTATTATTTCAGACCTCCACAGACCATGGAGGATGACGCAGCTGAGATCTGAGGTCTTGATGGAAACAAGGAGTTAAAGAGCTGGCAGGTTTAGCGTACCAGCAAAACGATGAACAAAGCCACATTTCAATGACACTCGCTATAGAATCCCGGGCATAATTTTGTACGATGGTTTAATTCATTGGCTGTTAGTTGCCCTGAGCTTCCAGACTGGAGGAAGGGCAGGTTATAAGGCTCTTGGACAAAATAAATAAAACTATTGAGTTCCACGAGTGGAGCTGGAAAAAAAGCATGTGCTCCGTTCTTATCACTGTTGTTCACAACAAGCAGGCAACTTCTGTGAGTGAAGAAATAACAAAAGGGCGACATGTGAACTGTTCCCCGCCCCCGCCCCCACCCCCTTTTGTTTTCCCGGGTTCATAGTTCTGGTTCTGAGAAATGGAAAGGTAACAGTACAATAAACCTTTGGAGCCCAGGTCAATTCTTGTCAAATTTGAGCCTAAAACTATTTTCGTTTTTTGAAAGGAAAAAAAAGTCTCAAAGAACATGACCCCGTGATTCTAGTCTACAGATGTGTCTTCTATTATCTCGTGCCTTACTACTGATCCAAGTATTTATGCTATTGATCCATAAGTCCATATGCATTTTCATTCTGATAACTGCCATGGCTCAACGTGAAGCATTCCAGCAAAATGGATATCCAGCTATTGCTACAGCACATATAAAAAAGTTGATCCGTTTGGAAAACCAGCGATGATATGCGTTCGGGTTTTTAAGATTATTATTCTTAAGTACATAAAACTTAGCAAAACGAAAATTGCAATGTTCCCTGTTTTTTTGGGTGGGGGTGCTGATAAGACAGTATACATTTCTTGGTAATGTGGCATTTTGCCTATAGGTGCCAAAATAAATATTCTCAGCTACTTGTTGATGATTCCCAGTTAGGAATTATTCTGTTTGGTGTGCGTTTTTTAAAATTATTTTATCAAAATGGCAGAACCTCTTGTGAATCATGGGAATTTTTTGGAGTCCTAGATGACTATAGCGATGATGCAGCCACTAGTTATAAGAGAAAACGGGTAAACACAACTACCCCTCAATCCAGTGGATGCAGTAGAAATAGGTTTCCCTGGATGTGAATCTATCACATGGCAGGTGAGGAAAAGGCTGCTGCAGAGTCGACAGGAGGGAGATGGACAGGTGGACGACAGGCATCACCCGGCAAGGTGAGCCATATGCTACTCCTCAGAGGCCCCTGCAAAAAAATCAGCTTAGCTTGGAGAGCTAAACAGTGTCTTTGCCTTCACGGCCTTCTGCTGGTCTGCCATCTCCTGGATCGAGGGCGTTAATTGTGCATGTTTTCTTTGTGTTCCTTGAGAGTCAGTGTGGGTACGATTCCTGCCCCCACCCCCGAATTGCATGACTTGAGCTAGTTAAGATTTTTCCATCTCCCGGCAGGCCAGAGAAATAATCTTAACAGCAGCAAGAACTGTGAGAGAATGGCTTAAAAGTTCAAAACATTGATTCTTCCCCCCGCCCCCACTCCATGCTGAATGTTTTAATGGATTCCTGCAAAGAAGAAAATGATTAAAGGGGGTGGGGGGAATCCCAATAAGAAGCATCTGACAGGGGAACTGGTGGTGCTATTAATGTGCATCCAAAGAGAACATTCAGCATTAAGGGGATGCTGCAATTTGTTTCTTCCTCTCTAATCTTGCACATTAATAACAGGCGCAAAACGCCTCCCAGCACTTGGTAATTACTGTATATTGTTCAGAGCTTGGGGGGGGGGGCTTTCGTACTTCAGGCCTTGAAATACCCTCTAAAGTTGGGCACACACTTACTGAGGAGTAAACAGCACTGAGCCCAGTGGCACTTACTTCTGGGCAAACGTGCGCAGGATCTTAACAGCACACCTACAGCACTGAGCTTCGCCTAAGTCTCACTCCCAATCCTTCTGGAGCATTGCATGATGGGAATATATCCCAGGATGCAGTTCTCCAGGTTTTTGGTACTCAAGATCATGAGAGAAAGAGGTGGGTGGTTTTTTTGCAAAGTGTGTGTATGATGGAGTCTCTACGGCAGGGCTGAGAAGTAGTTGATTCAACCTGGCACTAACCCCTGCCTTGAAGTGTGCCAAGTAATTCAACCTTGACATGATTTTTGTTGCTCATTGCTCAAAAAGAAACTCTTAAGGGAGGCCTTCTGTATAAGCAAGGCCCTGCCTCCCCAAGTCGTTTTGTTTGCTTAGTAACAGTCTCTTCAGCCATTGTGCATTCCAGCATCTAGTGGACACGATCCACATGAAGGAGATGTAGAATCTCTTTTATCTGCTTACGATTTTCTTGAGGATGCGGGGCAGAGGGAGGGTTTCGTTTTTGGTCACACCACAGTGCTAATCGTAGACGACTCTTCCGACTTCTTCTGCTTGCTGGGCAAGGACTTGAGATATTCTAGGTGCCGGCGGGCGTCTTCTTGGTTCTGCCGGACGTAGTAGATCAAGTACGAGATCACCATGGCGAACCAGCCGAACATGGTGACCAGCATGGCGATGTCTGTGGTCTTCTTGTAGATGTTGCAAAAGTCTATGTCCCCCACCAATTGCAGAAAGGGCTTGCCGATGTGCTCCTTCCGGGCTGAGGCATCGCAGATGATCCCGTCGGAGGTGCCGGCCACCAGCTCCACCCTCTCGACGAGCTGCTGGAGGGTGCAGTCGCAAAGCCAAGGGTTGCTGGAGAGGTTGGCTTTGGCTTTCAGCGCACTGAAGACATCCTTGTTGACAGACACCAGCTTGTTTGAGGACAGGTCCAGAGCGTGCAGGCTTTCTGACAATCCCCGGAAGGCCCCGACCTCCACGCGGCTGATGGCGTTGTGCGACAAGTCGAGTTCCACCAGAAGGGGCAGGTTCTGAAAGGCGTCGTTAGGCAGGAAAGAAATGTGGTTGTAATCCAGGTACAATTTGTTGGTGTCGTTGGGGATATCCCTCGGGATAACGGTGAGCTGGGCCTTGCTGCAGCGGAAGGTTTTGAAGCCGTCCTCGGTAGAAGGGTAGCAGCCCTTGGGGAAGGTGGTGGCGGAGTGGAAGCAAAAGGCTATCAGGACAAAACTCTGGAGGAGCAGCCACATGGCAACCGAGTGGTAGAGGAGCCAGTCCAAAAAAGGCATGGCGGGGCATCTGGGGAGCCACGGTGAAGCCGCTCGGTCATCAGTCGCTTGGTGGGCGTCCTTTGCCTCTGGGGGAGCCTCCGAGGCTGCGGCTCGGGGATCACTAACTGAAAAGACAGAGCAAGGGCAACACTGGAGCTGAGGCAACGTTTCGTCATCACAATGAAACACCACCACCACCAAAACAAAGTACAGTCGTACCTTGGAAGTCGAACGGAATCCGTTCTGGAAGTCCGTTCGACTTCTAAAACATTTGGAAACCCAAACACAGCTTCTGATTGGCTGCAGGAAGATCCTGCAGCCAATCAGAAGCCACAGAAGCCTCGTTGGACGTTAGGCTTCCAAAGAACGTTCGCAAACCGGAACACTCACTTCTGGGTTTGCGACATTCGGGAGCCAAAACGTCCGAGTACCAAGGCGTTTGGGATCCAAGGTACAACTACATGTAGTCCTGGGTTTTTTGACATGGGTGCCCACCAGCGTTACAGTATATGAAAACGGCAGAGTTTGCCCCAAATGAGCAAGCTGTGGCCCTCCAGATATTCACAGAATTGTAGAGTTGGAAGAGACCCCAGGGGTCATCTAGTCCAAACCCCTGCTGGACTCCAACTCCCATCAGCCCCAGCCAGCATGGCCCATGGTCAGAGATGATGGGAGCTGTAGTCTAACGGTATTTGGAATTCGTTTTTATCAACACTGTATAAAGGTTAAGATTGGGTGAACTGCAATAATAATCATGCGATGTTTATAAGGTTTTTTGTTTTGGTTTTTTACATGGGTGTCATTTTATTTTTCTTCTTCTCAAGTCTTATTTTACCCAGTGATCTTATAATTATATACCGTATTTTTCTGTGTATAAGACGCCCCCATATATAAGTCCTCTTTTGGGGGACTCCAAATTAAGAAAACACCCCTCAGCACTACCCGTGTATAAGACGAGCCCCAATTTTAAACCTTATTTTTTGGTTTTAAAAAAAACCCTAGTCTTATACACAAAAAAATACAATTTTTCAATATTTTTGAAATATTCAATATTCTTATTTTTCAATAAAGTGTTTACACACACACACACACACACACACACACACGGGTGTATCTCCGCTGAAGACAAGATATCATAGTCAATACCAGTCCTGAAGGAAACCTGAGAGCTACAATTCTGGAAGCAAGGCTAAAGATCTGAAGCTACCAGAGCACCTTCACTGAACTGCAGTTCTCATAGGACATGGCAAGAGACTGCTGGGCCAGAACAATGAACCACCTAGTGCTGCATCTTGTTCTCTCGGTGACCAACCAAATGCCTGTGGGAAGCCCACAAACAGGAACCTGAGTGCAAGAACACTCTCCTGCCCTGTGGTTTCCAGCAACACACTGCCTCCAGCCAGGGAGGAAGAGCATAGCTATCGTGTCTAGCAGCCATTGGAGAGCCTTGTCCTCCATCACACTTGATGACCACCACTGCCTTCGGTGGGAGCAAATTCCACGCTTAACTACGCATGGTGTGAAGTACTTTTTTGCCCCCAACGTGCATCATTTTACCTCAGAAGGGTAAATAGAGGACTCTCCTCTGACTGCCCCTTCAAACAGAGTATTGTCTTCTGAGAGGTAGGACACATGGCCACCTTCAAAGGTGAAATTAGAGGACAGCTTCTGCTGAAGATCTCAAGGCACGGGCAGGCTGGGAGGGGAGGTGTTCCCGCAGGGTCCCACACCATTTATTTTTATTTTTTTAAATAATATTTATTGATAATTTCAGGATTACAAGAAAAATAAAAAATAAAAAACAACAACACTACAATACAAAAAAAGAAAAAAAGTTAAATAAATAAAAGAGAAAAGCACAAAATATACGACAATGCAGCAAAAGAAAATAAAGAAGAAGGAAAAAAAAGGAGGAAAAAAAACACAAATCCCAAATTGCATATCCATAATTTCCATTTGCTTGTTTCATTGACCTCCTCACACCTCCCTTTTTGTATTCTAGTTTGATAATTATTTCAGCAAATTCTTTCCATCTTTCTCAATTTTTGTTATAAAATTTATCTTAACAATTTAACCTAATAATTAACTCAACAAATCCTTTCCATCTTTCCCCATATTCTGTTATTCAAATTATCTTAATTTATTTAACCTTATCTTACCCCTATGTACCTTAAGACTTAAATCTTAGTTTTCAAATATACATAGCTCCTGATAACATTTCTGCTAGAGTCGTATAGTTTCATTCCCACATTTTCCCTAATATTCATTAAGCTGATTCTAAAATACAAAATTTCCATTATAAATTCTCTTTCAATCATCATCCAGCGTCTCTTCTTCCTGGTCTCGGGTCGTGTCAGTCCTTACTGTCCATTCCATCTAGTCCATCAACCTGGAAGTCTTATGTCCGAGGCCCTTAAGTCTCTTCCATGTCCCTTCTGCAATTCTTCTTCATCTTGTTTGTGCTTGCCCTTTTCCTTGTCTTTTGTTGGTCTCTGTCTTAGTTTCTTTCCTTTCTCATTGAGGAGTAGTTCTCTGGGAATTCCAACCCAAAATTGTCTCCATCACCCTTCATCCAGCTCGCCCATTCCCCACAGTCCCACTCCCCACAGTCCTCGATATAATCCAAAATGTATTTAAAATCAAATTTCAAGATCTCTCCAAAGCTAGGAATCTCCTCATCTCCAGACTCCCCTTGGCCCACTCCAATTTCAATCTTCAATAACAACGGCTTATGCTCCTGTAGGGCCTCGGGTCTCTCCATTTGTACTATTTGAGGTGCAGCCGCATCCTCCTCCATTGTCATCTGCACTTGCCCAGTCAGTACAAATTCATAGGTTGGTTCCTGACTGATTTCTGTATCAATGTTCCCTGTTTGTCCACAGTTATCAACCACAACAGTCAAATCCATTTTCTCATTCATCAAGTCCATCTTCTCATGCATCTGTTTCAGCAAAGCATTTGTCTTGCATAGAGCAAGCACCCAGTCTCCCTCCCAGCTCATCTTTGTTCAAGGTCAGAAATGACTGTTCCCACAGTCTTAATCTCACAGATGTTGGGTCTCAAATATCCTACAGCAACAATTTAGCAAGCTCCCTCTAGAGGAGACAAACTATTTGTATCCATTTTTTTTTTTTAAGACAAAGGAAAGTTACTTTCATTTTTCAGATATTTCAGATGTTTTTCAGATATTTTGTTTCTTTAAAATGCAAAAGGCAACATTAGAATCAACTTGTTTCTCTTCATTAGCTATCTGTCAAAATATTACGTTCACAGTCAATGAACCTCTCCAACAGTTTCTGTCTCTGACACCCCGTTCCCAGGTTAGAGACGGTGGAAACTTATCCTTCTTCACTCCCTCTCCTGCCAGGGTTAAACAGAGTCCCCCCCCTTTTCTCCTGCTTCCAAGGGGGGTTTCAGTAATTCTGAATGAACTTTAGTCTTTTTTGACAGCTCCCGGCTTTAGCTTGCAAAATTTTTGCTTTAGTCTATATACAAAAAAGCGGAAGGCGGACTTCCTGTTTGCACCTTCCCGCTTCGATACCAAATTAAACAATTTCTTGATCCAATTTTCCGTTTCTACTCACGGGTACTTGTTTTAAATCCAATTGTCCACAGGAAAAAGTCAGCGCTCTCTGGCAATGGCTGTGCGGCTTCACTCCGTGAAAGTAGCAGTCAGTTCGTAGCACCGCGCTTCTCACCCCACTTCGCTCCGGAGCCCCTAGATGGGATTCCCCGCGAGTAGGGGGGCGCTTCTGGTGCCCTGCCGAACCCCACGTTCCCAGGCTTCCTCCGCCTGGGATTTCTAGCGGGTCCCCACCTTCGCCGTGGCGGGAAGACCCAGTTTCCACGGAGCCCGTTCCTCCGGTTGGAGGAACTCCGCCATTCACCAATGGCGCTGACCCGGAAGTCTGGTCCCACACCATTTAGGGCTTTAAAGGCCAGCACTTTAAACTGGGCACAGAACTGAATAGGAAGTCCGCCATATTGAGGCCAGAGATCTTTAGAGCACTCCCTGCTCCGGCGCATCAATTGCCGGCTTGTGTCACTTTCTCATTTCCTCACCTAGTCATCTGAGCCACTGTTTCTGGATCATCAACAGAGAGGGCACTGCTTGTCATCTGCTAAGTGGTGGAATCTGACACTCTGGTGTGGAATTTAGCCTCCCTGATCTTGCAAGAGACTTGCATTCAAATACACTTGTGTTCAATAAACATCTTTTCCTTTTTTTTAAAAAAAAAAAGCACACATAGGCACAATTCATTGCTACTTGAACTTCCTTTTGTGATTAAGATCCTTGCATTTCTTTTTTTTAAAATGTCAGGGGTGTGCCAAGTTCTCAGGTCCAATTTCAATGTGGCACTGTTCATGCTGGGGTTTTAAAAAAACAAAACTTGTCTGAAGTCTCATGTGTCTAGGTGTTACATTTAAACTGGGTCACACCTGAACTTATAAGAAGCATAAGCACAACAGTGGCGTGGACCACGGAGTTGTGTTATAAACAATGGGCTTAAAGGGTGGTACTTTATACAATGTGCCCCATGAGCAGCAATTGTGTTATTTAAAAAAAAAATCCAGTACAGAGCTGCCCACGATAACTAGAAAATGACCAGAAGCAGTCCTGGAAGGAGAAAGCTGTTTTGGAGAAGAGAGGATATCTTCCCACTCCCTCAGCTGGGCAAGAGATCATCAAGGTGTCTGTGTCAGAAATAATAATAATAATAATGATAACAACAACAATAATTTATTTATACCCCACTCATCTGGCTGGGCTTCCCCAGCCACTCTAGGCGGCTCCCAACAGAATATTAAAAACACAATGAAACATCAAACATTAAAAACTTCCCTAAACTGGCCTGCCTTCAGACATCTTCTAAAAGTCCAATAGTTGTTTATTTCCTCGACGTCTGGTGGGAGGGCGTTCCACAGGGCGGACGCCACTACCGAGAAGGCCCTCTGCCTGGTTCCCTGTAGCCTCACTTCTCGCAGTGAGGGAACTACCAGAAGGCCTTCGGAGCTGGACCTCAGTGTTTAGGCTGAACGATGGTGGAGACGCTCCTTCAGATATACTGGGCCAAGGCCGTTTAGGGCTTTAAAGGTCAGCACCAACACTTTGAATTGTGCTCGGAAATGTACAGGAAGCCAATGTAGATCTTTGAGGACCGGTGTTATGTGGTCTTGGCGGCCGTTCCCAGTCACCAGTCTAGCTGCCGCATTCTGTTTTTCAGAGAATGGTAGACAGACAGGGGCTACGTACACACAACGTACATTGAAAGTTGAGTTGCCTCAGAAAGCATGTTGGGTTACAGGCTGTTCCCCTGGTGGCCCTGAGGTGAGCGCAGTGAACTTTGGAGAATTAAAGCTATACCTCTACCTGTGTCTGACCTGTCTATTTGTAAGGAAATGCAAATACTACAAATACCATAAACTCCCTGTAACCTTTTGCTGGAGGTAACTGGTGAACCCAGGTGATTGCTTTGTCCCCAAAACGTCTCACCAGCCAGCTAAGGCGAGCACGACAACATTGCTGTGAGACTGGGGGTCTCGGCAGGGCCAGGAGGACTACCTAAAGCTAGTCAGATCTGCTGGCCAGGCTCCAGACAGACAGACGTCTCCTTCTATTAAGGGAAGCTGCATTTTAATGCGTCTCCATAAGAACTAACAGTCAGACAACTGCTTCCTGATATAGTGCCACTCTGGATGGTTCTGTATATGAAAAACCAATTAGAGAACGGGTCAGACTTCCCCTTCCCAAATAGGATTAAAATGTAATCCAGGAGTGTAAAGAAAGACTGCCGTCTGAGTGAGACTAAAGAGGGGAAAGAAATATAGAGCTGAGTTTGGGCTCTGTGAGCAGAGGCAGATTTGGGGCACTGCAACCAGTTCCTCCGCACAGGGTGCCTCCTTCCCAAAGCCTGGCAGCTCGCTTAGCGGTGCAAGGGCTAGGCCATATCAAATTTTGACCTTGCACAAGGCCTTACCAAGATCTTCCCCTGCTGTTAAAAGGTAAAGGTACCCCTGACCGTTAGGTCCAGTCGCGGACAACTCTGGGGTTGCTCGCTCATCTCGCTCTATAGGCCGAGGGAGCCAGTGTTTGTCCGCAGACAGCTTCCAGGTCACGTGGACAGCATGACTAAGCCGCTTCTGGCAAACCAGAGCAGCACACGGAAACTCCGTTTTACCTTCCCGCCGAAGTGGTACCTATTTATCTACTTGCACTTGACGTGCTTTTGAACTGCTAGGTTGGCAGGAGCTGGGACCAAACAACAGGAGCTCACCCCATCGCAGGGATTCGAACTGCCGACCTTCCGATCGGCAAGCCCCAGGCTCTGTGGTTTAGACCACAGAACCACCTGTGTTCCTTTTTCCCCTGCTGTTAGCTAACAGCATTTGGGGATAGTGGCTGCATCTCTGTGGAAACCTGCTGTGGGAGCCACATACTTTGACCGTGTTTGGCATGGCCTCCACCTACATCTGCAGGCATGTATATAAAATGAAATACAGTCGTACCTTGGATCCCAAATGCCTTGCGAGTCGAACCTTTTGGCTCCCAAACACCATAAACCTGGAAGTGAGTGTTCTGGTTTGCGGACCTTCTTTGGAACCTGAACGTCCAGCACGGGTTCCGATTGGCTTCCTGCAGAACCTTCCTGCAGCCAATCGGAACCCGCGCCTTGGTTTCTGAACAATTTGGAAGTCAAATGGACTTCCGGAATGGATTCCATTCAACTTCCAAGGTACGACTGCATTACAAAGCCCCAAGAAGCCTACAGTGACTGCCTCCTAAAGGGAACCAAACCTGGTCAGCACTGCTGGACATTCCCACTGCTAGGAGAAATGGGAATGTCCACAATAATATCTACAAGGAACCCCTTCTAATCCCAGCAGATGACCTGAGATTGCCCGCTCAATGGAAGAGCTGCCTGCTCCTTTCGGCTATGAGAAATTGGGGGCAAATCATTTCTAGCCACCTCTCAGATAGAAGGCCATAGGCAGGACTGGCACTGAGGCAGACTATATTGGGAACAAGGGTGGGAGGAGACCAGGAGACCTCTTTTTGTCAAGAGGCAGCCGTAGAGGCAGCATCGGGAGAGCTACTGAGGAGGTGCATACCCTTCAACATTTCTCCGATGCAAATAGGGACATCCTATTCCATACCCTCCAACATTTCTCCAGTTAAAATATGGGCATCCAGGTGGCAGGTCTGGCTTCCAAGGAGTGTGCCACAGCTATTGCTGTTACCGTGGCGGTGGCAGCAGCAGCAGGCAATGTGTTCCTCAGAGGCCAGATCTGCTGCCCCTGTGGATCCTCCTGCCTGAGGCAGCTGCCTCACCTTGCCTCATGTGTGGGCTGGTGCTGACCCCGTAGGTCACAGGCAAACAGCACCCTGAACTCAATGTCCTTTGGTGCCAGCCAAGTCACTACAAAAGCGTGCCAGTGTCAGCCGCCAGCAGTGTGCCCACGTGGTGTCAGCAAGCTGAGGTCACCCACGCGAAGTTCTGCAATAATGTTCTCCACCCAGTGTTGTCATTTAAAAATAGACTGCAACTGGGAAGGGAAAGACGTCGGGGAGGAGGGGACTAGCCGAGAAAGGAAACCTACTAGGAGGCTTCAGACATGCTGGCATCAGATAAGCCCTTTTGTGCCCACATGTCAACATCAGCTTTCACCCTGCAATGATTATGCAATGGCTTGGCACCATGCTCAGGGTGGAAACGTCGCAAGGGATAGCTGATGTGGAGCTGCTTCCATACTCATCTCACATAACTACCGGGACCCAAATGGAAGTGCTTCAGAATGGGTACAGCAGCCAAGTTGCAGCTGGACAGCAAGCTTGCACCCTCCCTTAATGTATACAATGCTCCACATCAAGGGAGTTGTTCCTGTCTGCCTCAAGGGGGCAGTAGTGAGCCCAGTCGTAGAGAAGTCAAATTTGACCAAGAAGCCATTTGACCATGGACAACTATGAAGCCTCTCAACTTTCAAGGAGTTTGGGATGATACTGATGGCTTGGGTCCTTTCCAGTCTGTGTTCTGTCCCTTGACTACCCTGGTGGATGGCATATGCCGGAGAATGTATCAAGGCAGTTAGACCTCTCGGATTTCTCTGTAGCTCTCAGTACCATTGACCATAGTATCTCTAAGGTTACCAGATGTCCCCGTTTCCTGGGGACAGTCCCCAGATTTACAAATCAGTCCCCATACAAAATCCATTGAAGTTGAAAAGTGTCCCCGGATTCATTGAAAAAAATCTGGTAACCTTATTCTAGGTCGGGATTAGGGTTAAAAGGTACTTTATTATAGTAATTAAGGTTCTTCATGGGTGGCCACTCCCAGAAGACGGTGTTGGTGAATGTTTGTTCCACGCTATGGCCATTGGCCTGTGGGCTTCCAGAGTGGCTTGATGTTCTACAGCTACATGAGACGGCCAGGAGAAGTCACCTGCAGGTTTGGACTGCAGTGTCAACAGCATGGCTAAGGTGGCCTCAAGGTGGAATGGTATCGCACTGCAAATCTGCCTAGCACCTCCTGCACTCCACTTTAAGATTGTTATAAGCTACATATTTTGGGCTTCCAACACCATGCCTACATTTTACTTTCTCTCCATGTATCCACCCCACCCCACGCACTGTTTTGCTTAATAAGCAACCTGAAGAAAAGTTCTGGAGAACTTGGTCTGTGATGGCTAATAGCCATTGGCAGCCGTCTCCTCCATGAATTTGTCTGATCTTTTAAAGCCATCTAAACTGGTGGCTGTTACTACCTTTTGTGGGAGGGAATGCCATAGTTTGCACTGTGTGAAAAAGAAGTATTTTCTTTTGTCTTCCAGCATTCAGCTTCATTGGGTGGCCCTAAGTTCTAGCACTATGAGGGAGAAAAACTTGTCTCTGTCCATTTTCTCCACATAATTTTACTCTTATCATAGCGCCTCTTATCTCCCTTTTCTCTAAAAGCATTGTTTCCCAAACTTGGGTCTCCAGCTGTTTTCGGACTACAATTCCCATCACCCCTGACCACTGGTCTTGCTAGCTAGGGGTGATGGGAGTTGTAGTCCAAAAACCAGCTGGAGACCCAAGTTTGGGAAACATTGCTCTAAATTAAAGAACCCCTAGATGTTGTAACCTTTCCAAGGCTTTGACAGGCATTGTCTCAGATATTTCTGTGCTGTATTTTGCATTCATGGAGGTTAAAAGTATGTGGGGTTGCTCTTTTTTAAAAAAAAAAAAAAAAAAGAGGGAAAGGAAGAAAATTATTATACTTAGGAAACAATTTCTCTCTCTCCAAATAGAACATGCCGTTCTTGCTGTGATCAAAACTCTGCTATCAGTGGAAGGCTAGTCTTTCCAAATCTAGGATCAATAGGGCTTCTGCCTATTTCAAAAAGCCAATTATGCCTGGTGGGTTTTCTGAAAACGGTCCTCCAGCTCTGAGGAGCTATAAAAGGTCTTGAGCCTGTGTGTTTTATGAAGGTAATTTGGTCCGGATTTCCATGAAACAAGCCAAGCAAAGATGTTTGGGTCTTTCCCTCCCTTTCAAGCAAATGGGTCTTTTGCCAGGAAGGCAATCCCATTAAATGGTGAAAGGGATTCACTGAGTGTTTCCAGGCTCTGCAAATGACGAGTTGCTTTCCCTAAGAGAGAGAAGAGGGTTGGGAAAGCCCTGCTGGCAACAGATCGGCCAATTAAAGATTCAAAAGTACTGAGTTGCACTGCTTTGGAACAGAACGAGGAATGAAGTCACAAGGATGCAGCCTCAGCCATTAAGGTGGGTTTCTGTCTAGGAAATGGTACCAGTCTCCAGATATACAGCCTTGCCTATACCTGCAGGCAAGACTTGTAGGCAAGGTTTCAGATCAACATCCCACTGATCAAAATCAGGACGCTCCTTTCCCCCCCGTCCTGAGCTCTCTTGAGCAATTGTTTGTTCGTTTTTTCGGTACAGTGCTTTGGTGCGAGCCAGCCGACTTGCACCAGAGAGCCAAACCAAAAAAAACCCTGGACATTCTGGGATCCAGTACAGAAGCCAAGGTGGTCTTCTGTAATTCCGGGGTGTCCTGCTTAAATTGGGACTCTAGAGTGGCATGGGATCAGCCCATTCTCACAATAGCAAGCGAAGGCTTGTAAGGAACCTCCTCATCCGATGGCTTGTGATGAGTCAGAGGTCACATTGTACTTCAATGCTAGCAGAACAGTGTCGTCCATTGCCCCTGAGGGCAGCAGGCCAGCTAATGGCACTGGGATATGGCCATGTAGCACGCATAGGCCTCAGCCCACAAAGCCTTGCTACTGTTCCCTGCCCCCCAGGTTCTGCTGCCTTCCTCTGCCTAGCAATAGGGCCGGCCCTGAACTAGAAGGCCTTCTCCACTGGGGCAACTGCACACATGGAATCTCTCTGCCAGGCAGGCTTACCTGGTGCCAAATTTGATATCCTTTTGACAACAGGTAAATAATTGTGCATTCAGCCAGACTTCCTAACACAACTCCAAGATTACTTCAATCTTGATGGTTTCTAGCAGTGCATCTGTTGTTCTAAAAAAATCACTTTAGTCGGGTTTTACTATTCTGCATGATCTCAGTCTTTGCTCCAGACTGTTGTGAGTTGTCACTCTTGAGAGTCATCGCCTTAAATTAATGGACAAACATATGTTTAGAATGAACAAACAAATAATTAACTGTACTGAAAAGTTCAGAACTTCCATCTTGGAAGTTAATTACAGCACAACCTTATGTATGTGTACTTAGGAGCTAAGTCCCATTGAATTAAATGGGGCTTACTCCCAGGTAAAGCTGGTGTAGGATGGCAGCTTTGACTACTGAATGAGCACCGGGTAACTTAGGTTATATCTACACCATGTGTTTAAAGCACACGGCTGCCTCACACATAATCCTGGAAACTGTAGCCTTTCAAGGGTGTTGGGAATCGTAGCTCTGTGAGGGGTCAACTACAGTTCCCGGGATTCTTTGCGGAAGACCCTCTGCTATACGGTGTAGATGTAGCCTTAAATAATAGGATGCCTAAGGTCACCATGGAGTGCCCTTTGTATATGGTGTAAACACACACAAATAAACACATTGTACCTGCAAGGTTGGCCGTGCCATTAGGCAGAGTGAGGTAGCTGCCTCAGGCGGCAGCTGCTGGTGGGCAGCAGTATCAGGCCCCACCCCTCCCCTTTGTTGCTCCTCTGCACGCTGGAGCCCTCCTCTTCTTGGGAGCCCTGCTGAATCAGACCAAAGGCCCATCTAGTTCAGCACTCTCTTCTCACAGTGGCCAAACAGATGCCTATGGAAAGCCCGCAATCAAGACTTGAACGCAACAGAACTCTCCTGCGCTGTGGGAAGAAGCACTTTAATTTTGCCTAGCCCTGAATCTTCAGCTTCCTTTGGGTTCTGTGTGTGCTGCCAACCAGGCCAGTCATGAACCCCAGACTACCCCATGGCCAGTGCTGAAGCAAGATTCAACAACCAGCCGAACCATTTTCTGAACTTGGAACGGGAGGAAGCCATCTTGTCCTTTGCCTCAGGCAGCAAAATAACTTGAGCCACCTCTACAAGCATCATACAGGAATTGTGACATGCATGTTATTTTCCCAGCGAAGGTATGCAGTCCCAAAAGCCCGTCTAAGGAATGCCTTTATTCCCCCAGGGCACACCAGTATTTACAGGCATCTTACCACTGCAGATTGCACGCCTCTGCCATTTTTTAAAATTAAAGGAAAACCCTAACTTCAGACGACACCTTAACTGTACATTTTGGTTCTCCAGAACGGAACAGTCTTGCCACACACCCCTTTTTTCTGTTTGCTGCTGTGGCTGCTGCCACCACACACTCTCTTAAAGACAGGCATAATCAGCAGCCGTAAAGTCCTATTCATTTTCCAGAAAAGGGAGAAAGAGGTCTGTTTGCATGTGTGCTTTCAAAGCAAACCTAGAATAATACTATCTTATATGGCTATATGCAACCTGTGAAGGCCCATCCTTGCAAAGTAGCACATTAACAGTGAAGAGGTAATTTTTTATTTTATTTTTTTGGCAGATGAGCGTGGCCAAAATTTGAATCAGAGTTGCACCATGTGATTGTACAAAATCTATCATACTAAGCTGCAATCAAGCTCTGAAGGCAGATAAAAACCACATTTTTTTCCCAGGAGGAATTTAGCAATAATTTCGGGGTTGCTCATTTCCTGCTGTTTCCTTGATTTTTAAAGAAAGTGTGTGTGAGAGAGGGGGGGGGGATCTTGATGCAGAGCCAGAGGAAATATCTACTACTGTAAGATCTGAAGTAAGATATACGTACTAAGAAACCAGCTAGGAAACTAATTCATTCTTTGTTTGTTAAGTGGAACTGAAACTTACAGAAGCATGAAAAATGCCATTTCCAAAATTATTCTTGAAAAGGATGCAGAGAGGTTTCAAGTACTAAAATCCACCATGAAAAATGGCATTGTCTAGATCCAGTTGCTGCATAGATTTACATTCAAGATGATCCCAGTGGTTTTTACACGCAGGCTAAGTTTCTCCCCCAGGACCAACGTCCTTATTTCCTCACCTTTTAAAACTTGTGCTTAAGGAATTGCAACCTCTTGCTTTTTTAATATATATTTTCCATGGTTTTATATACAGATACTGTATACACGATATAATGGTATGAAACGGAGAGCCACGAGAGGGCACCAAATCAGCGGCTTCATACCTAAAGCAAAGGGTCTTTCATTTCTTCCTCTCTCTCTTACACACTCACGCGCATATACACGTACACACACATGCACAACCCACCCAGGCAGAATGGGAGAACCAAGCTTCAGCCGAGTACAGAGCAGGATTCTGCGTCGTGCCTGGGAGCCAAAATAAAGTGAGCTGTCGGATGCATGTCTAACCATGCACCTTGGGCAATGCAACCGACCGCCTTACCTGGGAGCCGGGGGGTGGCGGGGCCACCACACACACCCCTTCCCCGCCCCTTCTGAAAACCCAGCTATTATTTTTATTATCACCCCCCAGGCTTTCGGTTTGGAAAAGACCTTTGCAACCGAATTTGCAAGCCCGTTTTAAATTTGCAATCCCCGTGCCTCTCTCCCGCACGAACGCTGAAGCGGAAGAGGTGTAACCAGGCTTCTGCAAGGCTGCAATCTTAACCGCACACACTTTTGCCTGGGAGTAAGCCCCGCTGCACACAACGGGGTTTACTTCTGAGTAAGCATGCACATGGTGCACGTTTGCCTTCTCTCTTAAAAAAATGAATATATAAAGATTTTGCATGGGAAGGGAAGGGGGGGAATGAAACCAGAGACAACTTTCCACGATGCAGGCAAAGTTGCAGCACACCATCTCTCCCTGCAACTCCGCTCCTCCTCCTCCTCCTCCGCGCGGGTCTCCGGATCTCGCTCCCGCTTCGCCCTTCTCGCCGGAGGAGCCATGGCTGAGCTCTCCCGCCCCGCTTCCCGCGCTCGCCTTCCTCCCGCTTCTAACCCGGGGGGGGGGTGTGGAGGGCTGGGATCCGGCTCACCTTCCGCCGCTCGCCTCCCGCCGCTGGCCGTAGCTGCCCTCCGGAACCCCGCAGCCCGAGGGGGGAAGCGGGAAAGGCGAGCCGCGGGGGGAGCCGACCGAATCCGCCACGATCCCCTTCCAAGCAACAGGCATTGCGGCTTTCCCCGCTCGGCTCCTCTCCCTTCTCCTCTTGCTCGCTCTCTTTTATCCCGTTAATCCGCAGCAGGCTCCGGAGCTTGCCTCCGAATCCGAAGCAGGAGACGACCCCGACCTCTCTCTCGCGCAAGAGCTCCCATCACGCCAGGGCAGGACGCGTGAAGTTTGCCAGCTTCTTGCCGCCACGCGTGCGAGCCGGGAACGGGCGTGTGAGTGGGTTGGGTGCGCGCGCGGGGGGCGGGCGGGTGCACCTTGGGCACCTAGAGCAGCCTCTGGCTAGCTGGGAAGAAATCGCAGGCAAAAATGAATTAAGGGGGGCGGGAGGGAGGGAAGTCACCGATCAGGGGCTCGATGGCCTCCCTGGCTTTGTAATGTGCGAGTGCGTGCGCCTGCCTGCTCGTCTCCCTGCGCGCCACTGTGCGTTTGAGCCGGCGAGGGCGAGGGTGGGTTCCCCGCTTCGTCGCTGAGAATGATAGCTCTCCTTTGGGGATTGAAAACACCGCCTGGAAAGCGGAGTGTGCATACACGCACAGCGCTCTGTGCAACCTGGAATGTTTGTTGTTTCAAGTTGGGGGGCAAGCAAAGACGCGCCCTGCTAGTTATGGGCTATTTCTTCCCCATCTTCCCGTTTCTACTGATATCCCAAGTGGAGACACAAACCCTGCTAAGTTAACAAGCAAAGCGGACCGCTTGGGAAACTCCGTACTGAAAAGGGATCCTGAGACGACGTGGCTTGCGTCTGCTTTGCATGCAGAATTCCCCTGGTTCAATGAGCAGCATCTGCCGGTAGGGCTAGGAAAGACCCCCTTCCTATAACACACACACACCCACACCCCGCAGAGCTGCTGCCTGCCCGTGTAGACAACACTGAGATAGATGGACCAGTGGGATAAGGCAGCTCCCGATGTTCCTAAAGCATGCCTTTATTGGGATTGCTCACCATAAATGACAAAACGAATAACAAGTCGCCCTTTAGTGATGCAAAGATGCGTTTGAACGTGTGAAGAGAAAAGCCAACCAAAATACCAGAAAAGCAGGTGGGGAGGCTGACATTTGGACGCAGGGCCTGAATAGTTGGTCTCTGGGAAGCTCCCCAACTGAGAGTGGGACTCTTGTGGACTCTGGTCAGCAGGAGATCACACCCAATTCACCCACAAACCTTCAGTTTCAGGGCCTAACTGCAGAAACTGTTAACCTCCCCCTCCCCAAATTGCCTTGAAGAGGTATGTGAGAGTGGGATCCAGCAGACAGATCCCAAACCAAAATGAGCACTTGGATTCCCGCAGCCTTTAAAAATAGCCGCGTTCTGCAGCTTGCCATTTTGACAGGTCCTGGACTCAGATGGCATATCTTGTTTCCTTGAAGCTACCTTGAAACTAAGTACACCTCTGGGAACCATCTTGGGCTCATCTTCCAGTCTAGCTGGCGGAGGAAGGGGGCCCATCTGAAGCAAGTTGTTTTGGCAGCGGCCGCAGAAACTAATAGACATCGATCATGGGAGACAAGGTTACAGGACTTGGAGCACAGGGGACGGGGAAAGTCATTTCCCAAACATTACTTTGCTGCAGCAAGTCGTCCCCGTCCCCCAGCATCTTTGCAATATTAGGAATGTGCTCAAGCTAAAAAATAAAATAATCATTTAAACTAACCCCCACTGAGAACATGGCCCAGCTTTTGATGTCTGATGCATCTTGTGTTCTTTTATATTCAGTTGGAAGCCGCCCAGAGTGGCTGGAGCAACTCAGTCAGATGGGTGGGGTACAAGTAATTAATAATTTTATTATTTTTATTATTATTACAACTGCCATGTTGTTGTGCTCTGGTGCCAACCAATATTATAACAGCATTCTGGTGCCTGTACTGGTTTCCTGTTCCCAGGCTCAAGCGGAACAATTGCTTCCAAGCCCATAGGGAAGGGATAACCCTCTTCTTTGTATGGCCACTTAGGACACCACTTTGCATCAAACTCACATATACTAATTTATGTTAACAGCGTGGATGCAGATTTAGAAATAATGACTGTGGTATGAACAGTGAAGGCGCTGTTCCCCAAGCCTACGTCTGCCCTCAGCCAGCCCCCACTTGCCAGCCTTCTTACTCACATCCAGTCTAGGGGGATGGGGTCTGCCAGCTTCTTCCACCTGAGTCCCAGTGTTGCCCTTGTAGAGACTCAGCAAGGAGGAGGATGGGGGGCAGAGCTAGAATTACCTCCACCTCTCATTGGCTCTGGGCTCTGGTTCCACTGAGCATTCTGCATCCCTGCATTCTGCTCTGACCATTCTCAGTGGGCAGCGGCCACCGCAAAACGTGAATAGAAGTAATAGAATCATAGAACTCTAGAGTTGGAAGGGACCCTGAGGGTCATTCTAGCCCAGGGGTCAGCAAACTTTTTCAGCAGGGGGCCAGTCCACTGTCCCTCAGACCTTGTGGGGGGCCGGACTATATTTGGGGAGGGAATGAATTCCTATGCCCCACAAATAACCCAGAGATGCATTTTAAATAAAAGCACAGTTCTACTCATGCGAAACACCAGGCAGGCCCCACAAATAACCCTCAGGTGCTTTTTAAATAAAATGACACATTCTACTCATGTAAAAACACAACTGATTGCCGGACCATCTGCGGGCCAGATTGAGAAGTCAATTGGGCCAAATCCGGTCCCCAGGCCTTAGTTTACCTACCCATGTTCTAGCCCAACCCCCTTCAACGCAGAAATAACTGCAGTTGTTCGAACCTGCAACCTTGGCGTTATCAGCACCACTCTCTAACCAACTGAGCTGTCTGCGAAGCATCTCAACATAGCTAGAGAAGACTGTGGCCAGACTGTGACCTGATGTGTTCCTTCTTTGGTTGTCCAGGTTGCGAGCAGTTGATGGGGACCCTCGAAGGTCTCTCCTGTCTGGGTTCTGGACTGGATAGCCTTTGAAACAGAGGATGCCTTCAAAGAGAGGACCACCCTCTAACTGCCTTTCAAATGCAGGATTGTCCTCTAAAGTAGAACATGCCACTATTCTACTGCTTCTATGTACCTGACAAATAACTTGTGGGAGCATGTGATCATTGAATTGTTGACTTGGAAGGGACCGCAAGGGTCCTCTAGTCCAGCTCCCTGCAATGCAGGATCCTGCCCACAGCCATCCCTGGGTGAGCTCAAACCACCAACCTTCTGGTTAACAGCAAGACCCACTGACTCACTGTGCCACTAAAGCAATGTGGAAGCCTTTATGTTTCAAGCCCTAAAAACAGCTGGAGATTGGAAAATCTCCAGGACAGTCTCCTCTTGTATTGAACCTGTCCGCACTCTGCACTCGCCAGGAAATGAGATGCAGAGGATGAGGATTCGAGACGGAGCCTTTTATTTTATATTTATGAATGCCTGGTCTTTGGAACTCACTGCCAAGGGAGCTTCAAGCAACTGAAAAATTGGTGTCTTACACCAGACAATGTGATATAAAAGATGGAAGAGTCACCCATGCTCATTTAAAAGAGAAGGATCCAGATGTCTTGTTGTTGTTGTTAGAGATGTACTGAGACTTAGGTGGCAGGAGAGAATGCATTTCTGATATTTGTATTTCCCACCTTGAGAATCCCAGTAGAGGGAAAGGAGAGCAAATATAGCACTCCTAGTTTGACTCCAGTGTTAGCTTTTGCTGAACAAATAGATCAGCTTCTGTGGCAACTACTTGTGGGCCACCTTTAAGATCAATTGTGCTCATGGGCATTAGCGACAGGGCCTTCTCAGTGGTGGCTCCAACCTTATGGCACTGCCTTCCAAGAAAGATATGCATGGCTCCTTCGTTTTCATTTTCAAGGAAGCCTTACAATACCATCAGTTTTGCTCAGCGGGAGCATGGATAGGGAACCTATCCAATGGGCTGGACTACAACTCCCATCATCCATGATCCCTTGGCCATTCCAGCTGTGGCTGATAGTAAGTCCAGCAATAACCCGCTGGAGTTGCTATATATTGAATTTTATTGACCTGGAAACTAGTTGATTTTTGAAGTTTGTTTGTAAACGATAATGTGCATCTGTTACTAAATGCAAGCCTCCTTGGGAAGCCTATAGTCTTGAAAGACTGGGTTAAGAAAAAGCTCTAAATCAGGGAAGGCACAGAAGAGAAGCAGCCACACAGAATTCAGCACCGTTTCTAGATTGATAGCAAAAGTAACCAAAATGGAAAAGTGGCCGCAAGAGGCTTGACTATCCAGGTCGGAGACATTTTTATTTGTCTGCAACTTTTTGAGAAGGAGAAAGAGCAACTCCTTCCTCCATACTCCAGAGAGCCATTAATCACTTTTACACATTCTTAAAACAGCAATGGCATATTTAACTTTTAGGGTGGCTGGTGCTGCTTGCTCTACTTCCTTTGGGTTGGTGCCCTCCCCCCCCCCCCACGCTGCTCTGGGAACATGTGGGCAGGTATGTGTTTCAGCCACATTTTATTTATTCTTCAATATTTATATACCCACACAAGAACAAAGGTTTCTGTGGGTGGTTTAGAAGTAAAAAAAAGAAAAAGAAAAGAAAATGAAACCATAAATTACAATATCAAAAGAAAATCTAATACTACATAAAACCTGCCACTGAATAAGACCAGAATTTAAAAAGCAGCAGCAGGGCAGACATCAATACAACAACGCTAAAAAGTACCAGATAGATAGATAGATAGATAGATAGATAGATTGATTGATTTGTGGGATTAAGCCTGTGGCAAGTAATGTGACATGGCCCACACTACTGTTGTAGCACATGAGGCAAAAAGGTTTACATGTTACCAGAGCATTGCGGGAGATGGCGCAAGCCACGGTGAAGCAATATGGCAGGCAACCCCAGCCACACAACTGAGGCAACGTGTAGATCGGCCCCTCAAAGCAAACCAACTGAAAGCTGAAGGGTGAATATGACAATGCGAGCCTGTGCAGGTCTACTCGGAGGTAAGTCCCGTTTAAATCAGCGGGGCTTACTCCCAGGTAAGTGAGTGCAGGATTGCAGCCTGAGGTTTTATAAATCTGTGAGTCACGTGTGGAGAAAATGAGGAGCAGACACACAGCACTCACCTCAGAAAACCTGCGGACAGCTGTAAAAATTCATAGGCAGTAGAATTTTTAAGAACACAAGAAACGCATAATTGGTTTATAGAACCCATAAATGGCTTTTTAAAAGGATTAAACAGATAGATGATGAGCTTACGGGCAGCTACTAGCCACAAGAGCCAAATTCTCGAGCTCCATTTTCAGAACTGGCAGGCAGTTCGAGGTGCCAGAGACAAACAACAGGGAATGGCTATTGATTAACACCAGTGTGTGTGTGTGTGTGAGAGAGAGAGAGAGAGCACGCACTTCTGTTGAAAGCCTTCCCTTCAATCTGTCTGAGTGGGAGTCTAGCCAAGAGAGCTCTTCCTGTACCCCAATAACCTACTGAGGGGCTTCTCTCTGGAAACTGTTCATACACAGAGTAATGCGTTCAAAAGTCTCCGTGTTCAGCAAAGTGCCTCAGACAGCAAAAAGACATCTTGGCCTGCCCTGGACATAGCCAGCATGAAAGCAGGCCTGAAGGACTGCCTCTCCCCATATAAACCATCCAGAACTGTGTGTTCATTATCTAAGACCCCTTTTTCATGTGCCTCCTCCATGTGAGGTCCGGAGGGTGGCAACATGAGAACAGGCCTTTTCTGCAGTGCCCCCCCCCCCCCCGTTTCTGGAATGCTCTCCCCAGGGAGGTTCGCCTGGTGCCTTCGTTATATACTTTTAGGAGCCAGGCAAAAAATGCTCCTCTTCAACCAGGCCTCTGGCAGATAAATATTCTACAGCTTTTTAAATGTGTCTGTGGTAAGGGTGGTTATTGTTTTGCCATTTTGTTTTACTTACTTACTTGTTTTTAATCCTGTGTTTTATTCTGTCAGGGGGTTAGACTCGATGGCCCTTGTGGTCTCTTCCAACTCTATGATTCTGTCAACCGCCCTGAGATCTTTTGATGAAGGACAGTTTATAAATCTAACAAATAAAATAAAATAAATGATGTACCTGGGCGGCTGGTGTAGCCTAGGGAGAGTCCTGAGGACCAGCCACAGAAGCTTGGAAGGGTACATTCTGTTTCCCTGCCCCAGGGCCTGAGGTTCTCTACCTTGGCTTCTCTGTGATAATGGCCATTTGGAGGACTCTAGGGACCAATGCCATCTTTTCCGGCTGGTGCCTTTCACAGTTGCATAACAGACTGGGATTCAATCAATGGGGCTTTCCCCATCGCTCTCCCAAAATAGCTACTACGCCTGTAGGATTTCTGCCTGTTGTCCATACAGGAGACAACCCTGTTTTATGCATCTGGTGTAGACACCAGTCCACAAAAAATCAATGCCATAATAAAATCTGATAGTCTTTAAGGTGGCACAAGACGTTTCATTACTCTTTGCGTAACAAGCTGGGCATGAACCCAAGGCCCGGCTCTGCCATTAGTACAATGCGAAAAAGCTTACTCTTCTTAGCGTCAGTACCTGTTCTGCTCCAATTGGCGATCTGGCCCCCGGAGATTAAGTGGGTTAGTTTTGCATTCACCTGCTGAGAGCATCTGTGCTTTAATTAAGCCTCATGTAGATGCATTGCAGAGACGGATGAGGGCTCTCACCACAAGCAGCCTCTGTTATGGCGCAAGGCATTCCTTCTTAAATTACACTGCCACATTTGTGTAGACAGCAGAATCAAGGCTCTCTCTTCAACTGGCCTCATTACCATACACATTATATATGGGCGCAGCGCTTGTGCAGGGAACACCTGATGCTGTAACATTGTCAACAGTGCGACCGGATGGGAGACCACTGGAGCTCTGCATAAATCCTTCTGAGTGTTCCCAAACAAAGGTGGGATACAATAATAATAAACCGTACATATATACATAAGGTCATGCTTCACTAATGGGGAGTCTTTTCCCCTATCCTGCTTTTAGGCACACATCCCTAAGTATTCACAGGTCTTCTTTTAGCAGAATCAAGGCTCTTGATTAGCTTGATTCGCTTGGCTCCGGCGTGGGAGTCATTTCGGCAGTGTCGGTGGCTTGCCCGCCCCAATCACCAGCAACCCATGCTACACCACTGGCTGTCTTGCATGTTGTGTGTATGGTGATGCAAGGTCTGTGCTGTCTCTGTATTCAGAAGTCTGTTGGCTGTTTCTCTCTCTCTCTCTTGGTGTGCCATGTGGGTGCCTTTGTGCCAGCACGTAGTGGTGGACTGTGGCAGTGTTTTAAGAGATGTGTGTCTCTGGTTCACCTGCTGCTTTGAGGTTTTGTGGCAGCGTTTCCCCCTCTTCCATTCCTGGCTGGCCATGTGCTGGAGACAGTGGCCAAATTTGCCTGTATAACGGTGACCAGATCCAAGAAATAAGGCAAGCACAGGATTACTCTGGACGTACCTGGCAAAAGTAGCACAAGAGAGCCATTTGAAACTGCCCATATTTCTACAGAGTGATGGGGCAAGAGGCCCAAGAGGCAAACCCCAATATGGGGAGCTGTGCTTCCCACCAGGGAAGAAGGAATGAGTGAAGACTGACATCAGGAACAAGCACTGACAGAGTGGGAGTGGGGAGAGAAAGATGAAACAAGGACCTGCTGCCCCGGGGACCCTGTCGCCTGAGCCCATCACCTCACCTGGCCTCATGGGTGGGCAGGAGACATTCCATGGACATTCTGCTGGCTTCTAAGGATGTTTTACACAGGCATTCCCTTGATCTTTTGACCAGAATCTCCTCTTTTTTAATTACTGTAATGTGCGTGTGCGTGCACACACATTTTAATTATGGATTAAACTATGGCTTTTCATGGGATTACTTTATTGTGTATTTTAATTATGGATGCTCGTATTTTAATGTCTATGGAATGGGTTTTTGAACTTTGCAAACTATCTTAATCTTATATAAACAAACAAACAACAACAACAAAAATAACCCAGGCATTCTGCGAAATTGTGGGGATTTAAAAAGGCGATGACTGGTGACGTGCAAATATAGAAGGGGCTTTCTATAAAGCACTGAGCCTTAAATCTGGAGCTGGTCCTGAACTGAACCTCACCCTCTGGTACCCCTCTGCAAAGATGAAAGAAGTTCATGCAAACATCCAGCTCAGAATTCTGTCCGAATCAGAGGCTCGCACACTTCCGCCAATCTGTAAAGCTTTCCAAACATCAAAGTATCACTTTACTTATTCCGGATTTCTCATTCTTTGCTGTACAAAGAATGCGGTACAATAAACCTTGACAGGTGCTGTAGAGTCAGCATTGTTAGAATCGGTACTACAGGCAGGTGTTTGGAGCGGGGGAGAACTTAAAGGTTGTTGTGACAGGTGGCAAGACAAGGGAAACGTCCTTGTTGTTCGTCCTGACCGCTTTTGGACAAAAAGGGCCAATGCAATTCACAACAAACAATGCAATTTGGCAATTGCTCCATTGAACAAAGCAGCCAAGTTCTTTGTAGGGTTCAACGGAATAAAGCCTAGCAGCTGTTGCATTCGTGGATCAGATGTGTATTTCCACTCCATTGTGTATCCTGAATCCAAAGTTCCCGAGGAATGGAAGCAAGTCACCTCTACCTGCAATCCATCGCCCAGTTATTTGCTGGAGCTGCTGTCCTGCAAGGAGAAGGGAGTGTAGGGTCTGCAAAATCCTCCAGGGGTCAGCATGCTTCAAGCCGCAGCTGCCTGCTGTCCCAAAAGAGTCATTCTCCTGTGTCACCCTGCCTTGGGTAGCCAAGAGTAGCCTTCTCCCTTCCTCCATGCATGGCAGGCTGCGAGACCAAAGAAGAATCAAGTAGGATGGGGCCCATCAAACTGACCAATGAACCAAGAGGAAAATCCAAGATGGCAGAGAGAACTGGACAGGGGTGGTGGTGGAATGAGAACCGACTGAAGAGGCCTTCGGGCACTTGCTCCCCTTCCGAGTCCAGAAACTGTCCAGAACTGGCAGCTGAATCTTACTTCAATGTTGGCAATAGACCAGCGTCCTCAACTGCACCCAAGGGCAGTTTTGTGGGTTCAAGCTGTGGCACGTGCCCCATACCTGCCTGCAGCACCAGGCAGCCGTGAGTCCTACCTTACAGAGGACTGTTTGAAGGAGCTCCCCATTGGAAGGGCTGTCCGGTCTGAGGCTGGTTTAAAGAACCCTAAGAAGGAAGAGCACATAGGAGGCGCTAAAGCAAACTTAGTAGGTCACCTCTTTGCAACTAATGATCTGCGATGCCACTTTATATTGTAATAGTTATGTCTACATTTGCATTTTCTTTTCCCTATAATTGTTATTAAATTTTCTGTTTTACATTTTAGGATATTCACTTAAACAACCTTAAAATATCAATGACTTCCCATCTTCTCTTCCCATGGTTCATTTTGCATAACATAAATCCCTGCATATTTTACGTAAACTAAACTATTCAGTGTTCCATTACGTATTACATCCATCAAAACTTATGGTATTTACACTGTTGAATTTATCTTAATGCTGCCCAAGTTTTCAGATGTACACAATTTCCCCCCATATATTCAATAAAAATCTTCCAATCTTCTTTAAACCTATGTTCTTCTTGTTCTCATATTCTATATGTTAGGTCTGCAAGCTGCACATATTCCATCACTTTAAGTTGTCATTCTTCTTCAGCTCGGACTTTGCCCGTTTTCCATTTTGGGGCTAACAAAACAGGGGCCACAGTAGCATCATACATAAATAACCTTTGTGGACACCTGGGAATTTCCTTCTGAATTACCCCCAACAAATAGGACTCTGGTTTTTAAAAAAAATACTTTTAAACGTTGTTGTTTTTTCAATTCATTATGAATTATTTCCCAATACTCTTTTACCCTTTTACAGGTCCACCGCATGTGATAGAACATATCACAGTCTCATTGCATCTCTACATTTCCATTTACACCTCTCATCTGCACAGCTGCCTCAAGTGAAAACACATTTAAGATGGACAGGGTTTGAGTCAAGGATCACTAGGAGGTAAACCTACTGTTATGATCCCAGAGGCCAGGCCTGGGACACGTGGACTGATCACAAAGACAGGTGGCCTCTGCCTCACCCACGTGGGGTCACAGCCACCCCCTTCTGAAGAAATGTCTCAGATGAAACGGAAACAAGGAGGCTTTCATCTAAGAGGAGATGTTTTTCAGAAAGGCTTGTATTCCTAATGCTTCTCCTATGAGAAATTAACTGCAGCAATTTCAGCTCTGCCTGTATTGTGTTACCCAACTCCTTACCTGCCCCCTTGATTCTACTCCAGGAGAGCTCCTGCTGCTGTAATTGACCTAGGTAAGGTTTCAAGAGTTTGATCTGGAGCTCCAGGTCTGCAAGGGAAGGAATTTAATTCTCAGAGGGAGAAGCTGGCAGAATACGTTCGGTTCAGAGTTTTCCCTGATTAATTTAGAGTGGCCACTTACACGCATTGCCCCCAAAAAAGGATAAAAGAGGACACAGGTTTGCATATGTGCATTTATATGCATAGATGTGAAATTAAAAATAATTCCTGCAATTTCAATTCTTGCAGGAACAAGTCCTGTTGGGAGGTGGTGGATAAGTTTAAAAGCGCAACCTCGTTTATCACAGCTATAAAATTGTAGAGTTGGGAGGGAGGGATTGCAAGGATCATCTAGCCCAACCCTCTGCAATTCAGGAATCTTTCACCCAGCATGGAGTTCAAATCCACAACCCTGAGATAAAGAGTCTTATGGTCTACAGGCTGAGATATCCCTCAGGACAATGTGTGCTATATATAAGTAATGATGCTATCCACACAAGAAGAGCAGTGAGATTCTACTTGCCTATACCACTTCAGATTGCAGGTGGGGACTTCTGTGTCTTGACACTCCTACATTTGTATATATCCTTGCAGTTAACAAAATCAATATACTGTTACAGATCTAGAGCTGGTGAATGTTAGAAATTAGTAAAATGGTAGAATTCAGCTGATACTTTGGGTACTGAAGGGAAAATACAGGCTGCAGCAGTTCTCCTGAACTGTGCAAAAAACACAGAAATTCCTGGGTTTAGCCTATGCAAACTAACCTGGCCCGGCGAGTTGAGTGGTCAGTCTTGAACACATCAAAGACAGATCCTTAGGTCTGTGCAAAACAAGCGGTTGCCAAGGTGACTGGGGAGGGTGTGGTGTCGCACAAGAAAAATGTGTCCCTTTTAAAACAGAGAAGGGGAGGGGCCCCTTAGCAAAGGTTCTTGGGAAGGGGAAGAAAGGAGGTGCCAGAACTGGAGGCAAGAGGCTGTGTTGGGCAGAACCATAGTATTGGCAGGCTGAGGCAGAGGTTTGCAGAATGCATTGGGCTCCAATGCTGTGTTGCTGTGCGAAAAGAGCTCCTCTTGAGATATAATGCTGCAGACTCTCTTCCTCCACCTTGGCCCAGGTGTCTAGAGGTGCAAAATAAGCCCAGTCTCCGATAGCTTTCTTCCTGTCTTCTTTCTTGCACTCTGACTAGGGGCATGAAACTGCCTGTCAGCTTCTGCCTCCTTAGTCTCGGTGTTGCTCTTGTAGAATTCAGTTGGGAGAAGGATGGAGACAAAACCAGGATTAGTTGAGACTTCCGGGTCAGTGCCATTGGTGAATGGCGGAGTTCCTCCGACCGGAGGAACGGGCTCCGTGGAAACTGGGTCTTCCCGCCGCGGCGAAGGTGGGGACCCGCTAGAAATCCCAGGCGGAGGAAGCCTGGGAACGTGGGGTTCGGCAGGGCACCAGAAGCGCCCCCCTACTCGCGGGGAATCCCATCTAGGGGCTCCGGAGCGAAGTGGGGTGAGAAGCGTGGTGCTACGAACTGACTGCTACTTTCACGGAGTGAAGCCGCACAGCCATTGCCAGAGAGCGCTGACTTTTCCTGTGGACAATTGGACTTAAAACAAGTACCCGTGAGTAGAAACGGAAAATTGGATCAAGAAATTGTTTAATTTGGTATCGAAGCGGGAAGGTGCAAACAGGAAGTCCGCCTTCCGCTTTTTTGTATATAGACTAAAGCAAAAATTTTGCAAGCTAAAGCCGGGAAGCTGTCAAAAAAAACTGAATTTCCTTCATTCAGAATTACTGAAACCCCCCTTGGAAGCAGGAGAAAAGGGGGGGACTCTGTTTAACCCTAGCAGGAGAGGGAGTGAAGAAGAATAAGTTTCCACCGTCTCTAACCTGGGAACGGGGTGTCAGAGACAGAAACTGTTGGAGAGGTTCATTGACTGTGAACGTAATACTTTGACAGATAGCTAATGAAGAGAAACAAGTTGATTCTAATGTTGCCTTTTGCATTTTAAAGAAACAAAATATCTGAAAAACATCTGAAATATCTGAAAAATGAAAGTAACTTTCCTTTGTCTTAAAAAAAAAATAAAAGGATACAAATAGTTTGTCTCCTCTAGAGGGAGCTTGCTAAGTTGTTGCTGTAGTATATTTGAGACCCAACATCTGTGAGATTAAGACCGTGGGAATAGTCTTTTCTGACCTTGAACAAAGATGAGCTGGGAGGAAGACTGGGTGCTTCCTTTATGTAAGACAAATGCTTTGCTGGAACAGATGCATGAGAAGATGGACTTGATGAATGAGAAAATGGATTTGACTGTTGTGGTTAATAACTGTGGACAAGTAGGGAACATTGATATAGAAACCATTCAGGAACCAACCTATGAATCTGTACTGACTGGGCAAGTGCAGATGACAATGGAGGAGGATGTGGCTGCACCTCAAATAGTACAAATGGAGAGACCCGAGGCCCTACAGGAGCATAAGCCGCTGTTATTGAAGATTGAAGTTGGAGTGGGCCAAGGGGAGTCTGGAGATGAGGAGATTCTTAGCTTTGGAGAGATCTTGAAATTTGATTTTAAATACATTTTGGATTATATCAAGCACTGTGGGGAGTGGGACTGTGGGGAATGGGCGAGCTGGATGAAGGGTGATGGAGACAATTTTGGGTTGGAATCTCCCAGAGACCTACTCCTCAATGAGAAAGGAAAGAAACTAAGACAGAGACCAACTAAAGACAAGGAAATGGGCAACCACAAACAAGATGAAGAAGAATTGCAGAAGGGACATGGAAGAGACTTAAGGGCCTCGGACATAAGGCTTCCAGGTAGATGGACTAGATGGAATGGACAGTAAGGATTGACACAACCCGAGACCAGGAAGAAGAGACGCTGGATGATGAATGAAAGAGAATTTATAATGGAAATTTCTTATTTTAGAATCAGCTTAATGAATATTAGGGAAAATGTGGGAATGAAACTATACGACTCTAGCAGAAATGTTATTAGGAGTTATGTATATTTGAAAACTAAGATTTAAGTCTTAAGGTACTTAGGGGTAAGATAAGGTTAAATAAATTAAGATAATTTGAATAACAGAATATGGGGAAAGATGGAAAGGATTTGTTGAGTTAATTATTAGGTTAAATTGTTAAGATAAATTTTATAACAAAAATTGAGAAAGATGGAAAGAATTTGCTGAAATAATTATTAAACTAGAATACAAAAAGGGAGGTGTGAGGAGGTCAATGAAACAAGCAAATGGAAATTATGGATATGCAATTTGGGATTTGTGTTTTTTTCTTCTTTTTTCTTCTTTTTTACTTTCTTTAGCTGTATTGTCATATTGGTTTTTATATTTTGTGCTTTTCTCTTTTTTTTAATTCTTTTCTTTTTTTGTATTGTAGTGTTGTTGTTTTTATTTTTAATTTTTCTTGTAATCTTGAAATTATCAATAAATATTATTTAAAAAAACAAAACCAGGATTAGTTGGCTCTGCCTGTCATTGGCTCTGGCGCCACCTACTGTTCGCCTCCCTGTCTTTGGCCCTACCAGTACCAACCCATCACTACTAAACTCTGGAAACAGGGTGATCTCAGCAAGACGGTACCACTTGCCTAATCTGACCACATAAATCAGCTTAGTCCTATCATAGTTAAAGAGCGCTCCCTCATTTCAGAGCCTTGCACTGAGGGATAATGCTGTACAGCCACAGAGAGATGGAACATGGTAATTGAATTTATTTTATGCGTTTCTAAAAAAGCACGCTGCAAGCCTGTCATATTTCCATGCCCTCTGGCTGCACTAAGACACTAACCTATTTACTGGGCAGCTGCCCGAGATCTCGCCTCAATTAAGAAGAACAAAACTTGACACTTTTGAACAAAAGACTAAAGAGCAGGTCAGTTCTGCAAAAGGAGGGGCCTGTTTGTTGATGTCTTTGCCTGCAACGGCCTCCGGTCTCTTGTCAGATGTGTTCACTTTTCTTGCTTATTTTCAAGGTCTACAAGAGCTTACGCTCCGGAAGAAAAGGGGTGTGTATGCATGTTGTATCACCGCTGGGAAAAATGGCTCCACAATTACAAAATGTTTTGAAATGGGAGGAAGACAAAGGAGCAGAAGAGAAGGGGGAAATGGGATACCACACCTGTTTTTGGCTCTGGGCCTACCCATCAGCCGCTGCCAATACACCCTAAATACCACCAAGGCAGAATAAATACCACCTTTGACAGAATAAATACCACCTTTGACAGAAAAAAAGTGTTTCCCCCTGTCTGTTATATATAGTTAAGTCACTAGGTGGCACTGGACTTAGTTGTATTGAAGCGTGCTCAAGGATTTCCTGTGTCTGAGTTTCCTGTGTCTATCTGTTCTGGATGAAGAGTCAAAATCTGGGGTTTTTCCCAGGCATACCTTTTGTAGCGCTATAGTTGCTGGGTTTGCGGTTTTCTTCCAGATTTTTCTGTATGCTTCCACATGACATGGTTATCATTCCATCACCATTCCAGAATATTGCCTTCCATCATCAAACTGTTTGTTCCTCTTTTGTAAAAAAAATCTGAACCTTTGTGTGGTTCTCTTCTCACAGTGTGTGGAATATGTTTTGCGCAATTTCCCATTTTTATTTGAGGTGGGGAGGCTTGCGGTTTGAGCAACTTACGTTTCACACCATTTCCTCAACTTTTTTGTTTTCAAATGTGGCCTGTTACTGCACTCTCCAAAATGGTGGATAGCTCCAACTCACCCAGTGAACTCAAGGGGTTCCTGCCAGCTATTTTTTCCTAATCTTCGACTGGAACAGAATTCTGGAATTCTCCCTGCTCAAAAAAGAGACCCAAGTGAAAAGGGCTATCAGTAACCTGTGCACATGCTCATAACTTGGACATTTGCTAGTTGCTGGAACAAGGGGGCAGAAGGGATGTAACACACCCTGTCATTGGTGTGTATGGAAGAAAGCTTAATCTCCCTTTGAAAAACAGCAACAAGCAGCTGGTGCTGTGCTCCACTACTATTTTGCTCCAAAAAACCCCATCAGAACAGACAACAACTCCTCTCTTTCCCGACTGGGCTTCAAAAATCTTGTAGAGGTTTTTCAGCACATACTGAAAACAGAAAAGCTTATCTATAAATTACTCTAAGACCAAGATTGTGATTTTTGGCAGATACACTCCTAGGTATAGATGGTGCTTGGGTCATCCAGCTATAGAACAAACTCACTCATTTAGATACGTGGGTATACTCTTTAATGAAACCCCATTGGACACTTGGCAGTCTGGAGGCAGTGAAAGTCAAAGCACATAAAACCATAGGGGCATTGATGAGGGAGGGCAGCTGATTGAACCTGCCCTGAAAATATTTGGTAGCAAAGTTTATACTCAGGTGCTCTATGGTATTGAAATACAGGGCTCTGAACTCCATTACAGTTTTGGAAACTGCAGGTTTTTTCTCTCTCCAGAAGCTATAGCCTCTATCGTCAAGAATAACAGCAGCTCTTCTTCATACAGAATCTGGGTGGACAACAATTAAAACAAGAGCAGACTGCACTCAGTTAAATAATATTTTTAAAATTGCTACTATGCCTAATGAGCGCATTCCCGCTCTGTGCTATATGGAATTGGATGGAAAGCAGCTTGTCAAGATGTTTTAGACTATTATCATTTTCCAGAACTCAGCTCTGCTTTGACCTTGAAGAAGTGTCAACTAAGGGATTGTCTCTTCTGGATAGAATCCAGAAGGGACCTGCAACTAATTAGAAACACAATCCACTCCCCTTAGTATCCAGTCTTGAGAAAGAGCATTTTAGAGCTTGTTATGTGACCAAACTCTTACCAGC